TACTGTTTCACCAAGAGTTCCGCATCTTTCAACATCTTCTTTGCCGCAGTATACATTTGTGTCATATGTATATCCTGTTTTAGCGTCACATCTACACCATAATTTTATGCCTCTCTTTACTGGTTTTTGGGGCATATACTGCTTCAATGACGACCTTCCCTTGAAGCCAACCATGCTTTCGTCTATGCTTTGCCTCGAACTGTCAGATCGATACTTCTGAAAAGTGTATTTGAAACAGGATATGAGTTCCTGTACGTAATATATTTTACTAGAACCTTCTGGCTTTTTGGGGTCGTTAAAATAAAGCTTAGAAAGAAGAAACAAACATCTGTTCTTAGATATGGCTGATTTTATGGCTTTGTTTCCCAAAGATGGATGAGATGACCAGTAATGCCTAAGATTCGGTACTTTATTGTAGCACATAACCAATGAGCAACCGAGAGTGATCATAATTTCTCCTGCATCAGTAAGGGTAGCAGACTTGTTATTGCGATTATACATTTGAATTCTCTGGTTTGTACATTTAGCAATAAAAATAAACAGACTACGCGGAAAAAGTTTGTTGAATATTTCTAGTGGAGTAGAATTTGCGGTAATCGATGGGTCTACGGCACACTGAATTTCATCCGGAATACTGAACCGTGGTATGTGAGCATCTTTTGTCGGTAAAGACTATATTACATTGCCATTCATAGCAGGAATTTCAAATTGTTCGCCTGAGTTTTCCGCAGTAATATTTCCTTCTTCTTCTTCAGTATCGCTATTGTCATTTTGAATATCTTCATCAGAACTAGAGGACGGCTTGTACGATTCGTCTGACTCTCCACTGTTATGAAATGGATCTTCTTCTGAAGATGACTCCCCAGAGGCAGTACTCAATCCATCTGGTGAAGATATTTCGTCTAAGTTCTCAGCGAAGTATTGAAGCTCAGCATCAGTCAGTTTTTTATTTTTCTTGCTCGACATGCTAAAAAACCCATTGGGATATAAATCACCCAGTCAAAAAACCCACTGGGACACATGCATCCCAGACACAAATATTGAATCAAATTATGAAAAATAAATAATCAAAAATATATAGAAATGTTGCTCTAATAGACTCTTAACTTACCTGAAAGAATCTTTCAAAATAACTAGGCAACAACGACGAAATTTGTACAAAAACAGGACAAACAGCCGAGCACGTGCTATTTCTACGTTGTTTTCGAGTACACTGATCAGCACAAAGCATGCCGCCGCGAGTGAGAGCCTTGCATATGCTTCGGAATACCCATTAAAGACCATTCCTATGTAATACGGGATATATAAAGCACTGTGGGTATTTTAAATTATACGTTGGGACTTATATGTCCCATTGGGGCTGAAAGGGTTAAACCTGATTTCGACAGATGTTTCATGCCTGTCAGATGGAATTCTTACTTGACTGTTCCTTAGTTACTTTTGGTACGTGAGAAAGATCACTTTCCCACTTGCAGTGTGCCGAGGCATTCAGTTATTTTCGTGCACCGATCAGTATGACTAAAATGCCCCTTAACTATCCTAGTCGCGACTGAGTGACGTGTATCGGGACAAAACAACACTGTTGCCAGACTTAGCGATTTTTGTATGCTTTAGCGACTTTTTTCTCCACTTGTCCGCTGGCGAATTCCAGCAACATTTTTGGCTATATTGATAATTCCATTAAAGTTTGCCTTTTTACACTTAAAACCTTTTCAAGTGCCGAACGCAACTAGTGATTATTCTGCTCTATCTCCCCAGACAAAACACAATGGTACAAGTAGTACCGAAAGCAGCCGGGTCTGTATAACAGGCACATGGCGCGGCGACATCATGGAAGAGAACTCTGAGGAGCAAAGCCCGTTGGTGTAGCGGTAGAAGAGAACTTGATCGCCGAAGGCCGCTGGTGTGAAAGACTTCCGAGACATTTTGTTAGAGAAGAGTCATCGATCAGTTGGACAGTCCTTTTCTGGACAACATTGAGCATAGATAATATAGTCGTGACGGCGGCACCCCAAACGTGTGAGCAAGACTCGAGGCTAGGCCTTTTCTGGGCCTTGTATAGAGTGAGAAGGTCATGCGGAAGTACTTCGTAGCACCAAACAAATAGACTAGCTTTTTGCCAGCAGCTGCCGCTACTGACAAGATGTGTTCAAGCCAGAATAAGTCCTCGGTGATCTGGACTACGACCAGCCGAAATGAACGGGTCTTTGGCAGAACCCGGCCATCCATCGGAACCGTATGATGAGCGTTAGGACGCTTTTTGTTCGTCAGGGTACAGTACTGTGTTTTGGAAGCATTACACTGTACAAGATTGTTGCGTCCCCAAGCTGTGATAACCCCAGGTCTCTCGTCAGAGAGGAAGTCGTCGCTAATCTTCTTTTTCGAGCTCAGCTGCAGAGATCTGCTTGTCACTCTGAATTCCTGCATGAGCGAAGCTGTGGATTGGGTTGATCGTGCAGGAGATGAGGTCGTTGATATGCAAGAGGAACCGTGTCGGAGCCAAGGCCGATCCCTTGGGAACACCCGCATTGACCTTGCGGGATGAAGAGGAGATCCCGTCAATTACGACGGATACCTTGCGGCCAGAGAGAAAGTCAGCCACCCATCTGAAAAGATTTTCTGGGAGGTCATGGGATGGAAGTTTGCATAAGAGGGCAGCGTGCCACAGCTGATTGAACGCTTTCGTGATATCAAGACCAACGACATAAGCCTCACCATAATTCTGGATTAGCTTACACAGCAATTGCATGCCGTATGCTGGGAGGTCCCCTGTGGATCGCTGGTATCGGAAACCATACTGCCTGTAGCTAGTCAAGCCGAGACGTTCTAGGCAATCCAGAAGGTCGCCATTTATGCACCTCTCATCACCTTACTTATAACAGAAAGCAGACCTGTGGGCCTGTAGTTGTAAGGGTCGGATTTAGATCTTTTTTTTAAATGGGTTGGACATCAGCAAATTTACAGTTTTCTGGATTCATACGATATCTGGAAGAGATGCGAAAGAACTGGAGCAAGCAACGCTGCAAACCTCTTTAGTACAATCAAGTCCGAACCAGAAGCTTCATTTGGAGGCGTCCATGGTGGAGTTGGCAGCAAAGATCTTGGCAAACACTTCAACCTTGGCCTTCAAGTCAGTTACAATCGTTCCATCCTAACACGCAAGTGGTGGAAGGCTACTGTGTGAGAAGTTCTTTTCAATCTGCTTGGCCAGCGTCCAGAAAGACCGACTGTCATTTAGCTGCGACATTACCTTGCCAAATCAGACATATCTTTCATCCTTTGCAAAGAAATCATCAGTTGCTGCCCTGATATTCATCCCGACCACTTCATCCCCACAGCTAGGCGTTTTAAATTTGTGTTGATAGGACAGCGGGTTATGCTATAAATCATATGTCAGTTCTTGTGCACTGATTGCAATGGCTAGATGATACCAACAACAATTTCATAAATAGGAGATCTTTTTTATTCCGGATCGAAAAAAGGTGGTTATAATCATGATTCCTAATAAATTTTCATGAAAAATCCGCTGTATGTAGGTATATAAGAAGTTTCTTATATTTGATGATACAACACATCTGCCAAAGATGATCATAATCAGGATAGTAAACTATGACGAAGGTCCACTGTATGTAACAGACCATGATGGTGTTCACACTTTTTAAATATTCTTCAAGAAGTGTTATCAGTCCAGCTCTAACTATCACAAGTACTATGTTTGTGCTCCTACTTTAAATTCAAAACCAGCAAATGTAAAAGATTTATTTCGCACCCTCCACCACGGGACGTGATCGTCGGTAGACTTGGCAACCCTGCGAGTGATAGATAGATATCTCCGCCAGTCAAAAAGGCTATCAAACAATAAACATTATTATTTTTTATGATTTTTGGGCATAAAAGACATTATTTGTGAGAAAATTTTCATAATTTTTTGCCTATGTCCATAGTAATTGCATGATGCATCACGGAGATGTAGTGATTGACACGTCTTACACATATTGTCTGTGTTTTAGGATAGAAAGGACAATGTTTTTATTGCTTTGAAGAAATGCATTAACCCATAAATTAATAAATGATTAGGTACTATTATGATGTAAAGGAAGATGAGGAATTGGTTGGAATGTATTTTAAATTCTATTTTCTTGCAAAAGCCAAATCCACACTATTCAACAGGTATGTAGCTATAATGATAACTTATAAACACTCAGTATACCGAACTTAACAAATTCGAGATTGCGATACATTAACAAACGTCCAAGCCTAGTCTTAAATTTAACAGCTAGACAATCGACCTGTTATTTGCCGCATTCCCATTGGCTTTGGAGATAACTGATTGTTAAACGTAAATTTATAACAGAATCCAAAATACATTAAAGTTGCCCTGTTTTCTCTGCACAAAAGCATTATGTTGTAATCAAAGAGTGGTCTTGTTTATAATACAGTCGAATCTTCACTATTTTATTCAATATCTCAATAGAAATCACTGAGATTTCACCAGTATTGTCAAATTAAGAGGCCGTTTGTCTCCACCTATAGGGTAACAGTCCGTCAAATACAGCGAATGGGCTTCAAGATGCAATCAACAAATTTTAGCAACCAATAGCTATGAAGTATTGAAAACAAAATATTGTCAAAGTATGAGATGACAGCTTGTAATTGAAACATCACCAGCTTATTGAAAATTAAGAAATTAACACGTTAAACGCCATGGCGGTCCCATGGGACCGCCTGACAGCAGGTCTATCACACCACGGCGGTCCATATGGACCGCTTTGTATTCGATGCATTTTCACCGCCACTCCAGCCAGCGGGCCATATATAAATCAGTTTTATCGTTAGACATGGACCGCTATGGCTTGTGTGGATTATACCGATAGGCCAACTTTTTTATGTGATTTATTAAAACGGCATAATTCAATTTTTTCCATAAAAATAATTTATTTCAAAGATACTGAACTTATACAAAGTCTCTGCCAAATAAAACTACATAGAAATAAAGTAATTTATAAACGGATACAAAGCAGTATGTTATTTATGATTTGTTCCAAAACACTCGAGGCAAAAATGAGGATTCCCTTCGCAACTACCACTACTTTTGGCACTTTGTTTTTTTGTATTTCACCCCTTGTTTTTTTACTGTAACATCCTTTACAATATTTTCTTATTTCATGTGATTTTCCCTCTTTCTTTTTCAGTACATGACGTTCTCGTCTTGTGTCGGACACAGACGGTTGACTAGTTTCATTTCTTTGAAACATGAGACTCTCTACGATACTCTCTTTGAATTCGGTAATGGAAACTGACCTATTATTTATGGCTTTATAAAGAAAATGGGCATTTACCAGAGCAGTTCCAAATATCAAATCTATTGCAATTTTCCTATACCACTTTACTGTTTTTCTAAGCGCACTATAATAACTAGCCATTTGATCTGATAAGTCAATTGAACTTTTTGCTTTGTTATATTCTAAGACTGCTATAGGTTTTTCTACATCTCCAGCCCGTTTATGCACCATTACAGTTTCATGTGTATGCTTGGTGGACAACAAGAGCACACCCCTCTTATCTTTCCACTTCATAATACATATACCCCGTTCGTTTTCTTTTGCAACAATCTCCCCAGTCTTAAGTTTCTTGTTAGTTACCTCCATAGGATTTCCTCTGCGTTTTTCTCTTAGAGTTCCTACTAAATGTGTTTTTTTGTCCAGCAATTTGTTGGCCAACTCCAAACTTGTATAATAATTGTCAGTGATGACAGTACGCCCAGAATCAAGAAGTTTCTGTGATAAATGCATAACTATGTTAGTTGGGACAGATATGCCGGCATCTTTATGTTTGCCACAATATAACTTCATCTTCCACGTGAAACCGGATCCGCAACAAAGCTTAAAAATTTTCACGCCATATTTATGCGTTTTCTGGGGAATATATTGCTTCATTATGAGTCTACCACGAAATGGTATCAAACTTTCGTCTATGCAGAATTCTTGGAGTGTAGGCCTCTTGGAATTTTTTCAACAATAAATTCATGAATGGTTCGATTTTGTACCCTCGATCTCCTTTAGGGCACATATCATTATCGGTGAAATGCCACATATTCAGAAGTAATTCAAACCGATTCCGACTCATAATTTGTCCAACAACACTGTTGTGGTATATCTTTTTCGTTTTAGTCCAATATCTATCCATGGTAGGAAGTTTGACTAAACCCATGTATCCTATGATGCCAATAAATTTTTTGATTTCCTCTTTATTGATCGGTGTCCACGCATGGAGACGACTACCTTCGGAAGTATCGTCTATATTCAATAACTTCTGGGATGCATAAAGATTAGTTTGGTCGGTTATAATTTGGATAATTTCATCGTCAATAAAAAGCGAAAAAAAATCGATCGGGGATTGGTCACCTAATGCTGCTGCAATATCTGGATTTACCCCAGTATTTTTGGGATCGAAGGGAAATACCTCATGATTGCCTACTGGGTCTTTCCACGCAATGTTATATGCTTCCACTATTATGTCCTGATCATCATAGTTAGGATTGTCGGTTTCCATATTATGGATGACTTCATTTACTGGACTAGTCGTATAAGTATTTTCATCTTGAGTTTCATCCAATGATTGGAACTGCGGAGGTGTACTTGTTGGTTGGTTACAATCGGTATTATCAGATACTACGGAAGCAGGCAATGGTAGTAACAAGTGATGCTCAGATTCTTCAGACTCTGAATAATTGTCTTCGGCTTCCACTTCGTCTACCTGATATGTAGGATCTTCATCAGAAGAGCAATGAAATGGATCGTTCAGCGATTCAGAAGACGAACTGGAGTCTGAAAAATATTTTTTTGTCATTTTATAGGCAGTGAAATATTTTTCTTAGGCCTTACCGTCGCTATACTTCGAAGAAAAGTTTTTTGCAAGTTGAACTAAACGCTTCGCACGTTGACTAATTTTGGAATTGCACGTAAAATGTACTATCTGAATGCTATAACTATCAATCCTAACATCAATCTGTACTCTGCGGTGGTAAATAATAGACTGATTCGCGCGAACCGAACAGGAACCGACAAGTCAAATTGGACCGCTAATCGGACCGCCATGGTGTGCATGGCATATGCTTCCCGCCACGCCATGGCGGTCCCAGAGGACCGCTTAGAAAAACATCATGAAAACAGCTTAAGAAATTATGGAAAATATAAATCAAACGTATTTTTGCATTATGTTAGTCATCGGAAGCATAAGTTGCGCAAAATTGGACTTTGGCCTGGTGGACATGTTTCTAAAATATTGATTGGCGTTTAACGTGTTAAATATAATTCAGCCAAAATTTAAAGAAATGTTTGATTTTGTCTTTTCTACCATTATTGATTGTTTATTCATGTTTATATTATCTTCTTCAATTGCTATGCGATTTTACTAATTTAACATCACCTAACGTGTGTTTCTTTCCTATAAATCCCTTACAGATATCGATTAAGCACCTACTTGGGTATAAAGACTCTACCAAAAATTTCATAGATCTTGCTCGTTTCCCAACATTCATTCATTTGCTTACCGTCCATCAGTATTATTATGGCACCTTAGATTGGTATTTGCACAAATACATTAAAATATCAAATATCAAAAATATCCATACATCCATAAAGTTAAATATTTTTCGTCACTCAGGAAGTGAAAATACATCCACACTATATTTACAGCGATTAAGGAATACGCAAATATATCTCGTACAGCTACTAGCAAACCTAAAACCTACAAAGAATTTGCAATAAATTCTTTTTTTGTCGGGGAGTGAGTGTACATTCTAGGCAATATTAGACATGATTTGAATAACAGCTGGTCCCAGTGAGGCAAACTTTGTCAACTGTTGAAATATACTCTACTCTGCTTTATAAGACTTACGTGCAATTTCTCCGAAAATCATTGCAAAACACTTAAAAGAATGCAAATAAAAATTTAAAACTATTTCCGTGACGCCACGATATATAGAAGTATCGATATTCTTATAACATATACGACGCTTGTGTGTATCGATCCGGACTGTCTCAGAAAGATTGACTAACTTCAGATTAATTTTCTTCTTTGTTTCCTATCGCTGGTGCTACTCGTACCATGACCTCACATAATTTATTTTAGATCCCAGGGCTTCCACATTAGGAGTTTATTAGGGAATTTTTATTTCAATGGGGAAGATTTTGGGGATACTTTTTTCTGGGGATTTCTTTTAGGGAAACATATTTTACTGGGGAGGTATAATGTAAAATTTCATTAATAACATTACGTAATGTACTTGTTATGTCCTGAATTTAGGGGATTTTTACATTTCGACTGGGAAAACTGAGCTAAACGTCCTAGCAACCCGGTTGGTTTCTTTTCGAGGAATTACACACACATGACGCACAGTGTTTTTTAGTATTGATTGATTGATCATTATAGTTTAAAACAAAACATCATTGTTATAGTGAAGCCTCCTTTAAGAAGTGATTTGTGTAACAAGTATGTAAAACCGAGTTTAGACGGGAGATGTAAATTGAGAGGTTTTTACCTGTTCTTATTAATGAACGTGTTTGACAATCTAGTCAACATTAGTTGCTTACGAAGAGCACACATTCTGTCCTAACCTAAATAAAGCTAACTGAGCGACGCTTGCGATTTGACACATATTAGTTAGAATCCTACCTCCCCCCTTCCTGCTATTAAAATACCCGGCTATTCGTCAGAAATATCTTATCTGGTGTAAGTTGGAGCCAAACACGACGTCTTTGAAGGTTTGACGTTCATAATTGGGGTTGAGTATCTTCAATATTTGTAAATAATTTCCCATAGTCTCTATTTAGTTATTAATTATGGAAGAATAAAGTTTCGTTAATAATGATATCACGTAATCGGTGTGTGTGTATGGGAGTGACTATTTATTCAAAATGACGAATAAGTATGCAACAGTTTTATTGTTAATTATAACAGTTACAAGCCCAAATAGCAAATGGGCAGTTAAAACCACTATTTTTTAAAACTAGAATTTAAAACAGAAAATAAAAACCACAACCACAAACCAACAAAGTCTAATACATAACAAAACATATAAATAACTAATTATTATCCAATTATTCGCTCTTTGACAGATGACAGGTATGATACGATCCTCTTGAAATCGTGCTTACGATCGACTTAGCTCAGGTCTGTAACTATAACTTAGGTCAAAAAATCGCCAGTTCTTAAGCAACTATTAGTTTGAGGGTTGTAGAAAAACAACTCTTCTTTAGTGTACGTGTTGTTCTGTACCTATCGATAATTTTATTCCGATATTTTAGAGTATCGATACTTCCTAAAACGACAAGATTCGATACATATCGGTACTTTTCGTAGATCGAATCATCCGTAATCTTGACGGTTTGTCGTTCTTGTCAACTGGGCTGCGGGGTGCGGTGCTGCCTGTACTATTCGACATTTTGCTAAAATCTTATGAAAAATAGAAGCTTCAAATGAAATATTGACTTATATGAATGGATGTGCATAGAATCTAGAACATAAATTCATACTGTAGGCTTCAGATTGTCTTCAACCGGATTTTTCCGTATTTTTACCGAATTGAGAATATTTACCGAAAACGCTATTTTCCACGGTTTTTCAAAGTAACTAAAGTATTTCCATACTTGTTGAAAAACAGCTGGAACCAAAATAGCTTCCAGAATGGTTGAAGTACTATGGAAGAGCGACCAGTATGCACATTGTATAAGTTGTAATATAGAACTATGCCCTCATGAAACATGTTGTGTGTGCGCTCAATACAATAATAAACGTTTTTCATAGAGTAAAAGGTCCTTGATCCACCACTGATCTTGGGATGGCATTTTTCATTAGACCGAATTCAACGACACTGTTTACCGATTCAATTTTTTTCTGGTTCGGCGACACTGCAGATCACTTCAAAAGCAATTGATATCCCAGACGTGTTATAATAATAGTAAAAATAAGAGAGTATTACCAGCTTTGCAGATATGCAGGGTGGCGCATCGAAAACGAAACAGACGCATTACTGGCAGCTCAGTTTTTTTTTTTTTGAAAAACGCTCAGACACGTCGACTTTGTTTTCGAGGGGGACACAAGTTTGGAAAAAAATCACGTTAGCACGTGCAGCCCCCTAAGCGGGGGTGACACCACCCCAAAATCTTAAATGGAAAGGGGGGGTCGAGTGATACCCTATTTTAAAGGTCTTTCAATTCCCTTTATAATGATATAAAATTAATGTACTTCAGTTCAGCAGTTTTGAAGATTTTGAAGACTAATACATCATCATTAGTGGAGATCAATACATTTGACAGCAAAGTAATTTAAAAATGAAGAATGAACTGACCCGTTAGGCAAGTAAATATTGAAAATGGCCACCATGACTCTTCATGCAATAATAAAGATTTTGCTCAAAACGTTGCCACACATTTTGCAATATTGAGGAGTAATTTGAAGACACTCATTCACAATCCTTTGTCGCAGGTCTTCTAATGATGTGATAAGGTGATAAATCTGGCGATCTTGGGGGCCATTCAATGGCACCTCTTCTACCAACTCATCGATCTGGAAACGTCTGATCTAAATATTGTCGAACACGTAATGCGTAATGTGGTGGGGCACCATCCTGTTGGAACATCAACCTATTCGCAATGTACCGCCGATCATTCTGATTTTCAATTATGGCTGTTTATGCAGGATCTATGGCATCTTCCAGTTATTCGAAATACATTTCACCGGTCAAATTTCCAGGTAAGAAAAAAGGACGAACTAAATGATCGCCACAAGTACCAGCCCAAACATTTAATTTTTGTGGCTGCTGCGTATGAACCTCATGATAAATTCTGGGACCAGAATCGGACCGAAATCGGCAGTTATGACGATTTACTACGCGATTTAAGAAAAAGGAACATTCGTCAGAAAAGCAAGTGTTAGATAGAAAGTGTTCATCGATTATAATTCGTTCACTCATATCTTCACAAAATTGTAATCGCCGATCAAAATCGTCTTCATTAAGTTCTTGTACCAGGTGAATTTTATACGGATGAAAACTAAGGGCCTTTAGAATCTGTTGGACATTAGATCGAGTAACACCACACATAGTCTCCATTTTGCGGGTACTTAACGTAGGATCTACATGAACTTGCCCTAAAACCCCCACTTCTATTGCTTCGTTCCTTATGGGATTTTCAATGTTGCGTTTTTTTATTGGCGACTGACCCAGTTTCCCGAAATTTAGCTACAAGTTCTAGAAAATATTTTCGATGCACGTTACTGTTCTCATGTCGCTCATTAAATATTTCTGCTGTTATATGTATTAGCGCTCTGGAATATACCATGGTTAATTTATGTAATAAAGCGTTACAAGTTATTTTAGCAACAAGGTGTGGTCAAATCAATCGCAAACTATGTACTAAATTCCTATTTAAAATAAGTACGAGATATTTCCTTATCTTTGTTCAAGAAATAACTTTTTGCCACAAAAAAACGCTCCAATAGCTATTTTCAACAACAATGCGATAAACAAACCATGGGCGTAGTGAAGAAACGCATTTACTTATTAAGTAAATTCTTTTAGTCAAATTTCTTTTGAAAGTAGTACAAACTAATCTAATGTACCTACTAAAGTCTATTTTAAGCTTTAAATCAATAAATCTTCAAAACTACTGAACTGAAGCTCATGTATTTTACGTCATTATAAAGAGAATTGGAATACCTTTAAAATAAGGTATCACTCGACCCCCCGTTCCATTTAAGATTTCAGGGTTGGTGTCACATTTTTTTGACAAACTTGTGTCCCCCTCGAAAACAAAATCGACGGGTC